GGAAGGGGAGGGCCATCAAATTCGTAGTGCAGTTTACAAAAACAGTGGGACCTTGGATCCGGGTGATGATATAGGGATATGGGACGGGAACATTATTGGCGGGTGACAGAAAGTGATAACAGTTGATAAGATCCGATAAGGGCCTTCGGAAGGGAAGGGTCATCAAGTTCGTAACACAGGTTACAGCAACAGTGGGACCTTGGATCCGAGAGGTGATATAGGGTGATATGATAGTGATATGGGACGGGAATATTATTAGCGGGTGACGGAAGTGATAGGAGCTGAAAGTGACAAGTTAACATGGGAAAATCCGCTTCACCGCTCACAACAACAATGCGATCGATATGACTCAAGTATAACGATCTCAATGATTCCAACAGAACTCATTCCTCACTGCTTATTAGTAACGACATCATGTACGACCGCTAAGCTAGCTCTATTCCAAATGCATGGGGTTTGTTTACAGAGATGTTATGAACAGCAGCAATTGACTTAATCACTCTTACCACAATTATCTTCCATCAACACCTTAGTGAGGGCCATTTAACACGTTGAAGACAACGCCCGTTTTTACTTCTCCGCCGAAGACACGCGCGTTTTCTCGAACGTGCACGAGGCGCTTCTTTCGGAGATTGGATCAGAAAACTTGGTTCAGAGAGCAATTATGAACTAAGTCAAAAAAAAACTAGGCAGGCCAACTCTCGTTGCACTAGGTGCCAGAAATTTGTCTGTAACCAATGTTTTCATAAAAAACACAAGTCGTGCCTTCTATAGGACTCAGAATCCTTCATTTTATATTTTTTATTATTATCAATATGGTATTTATCATCATTTGTTAGTAAAGTGTTGAAGAGCAAACCAATCCAGAGTTGAGGAGCAAACCAATCCAAGCAAAGGGTGTTCTTTCCCCAGGAAGTCTTTGCTAAACTAGTGTGTACTGAACTATTCCATGGACCACGCGTTGTACGAGTATACTAAGGACTGGACTATAGAATGAATATGAGAAACTGAACAAACCATGCACAAGTGAAAGATATGGATTTGTTGATCGTGATTCGTATCAATGCACGCGGTTCCATGTGGCCTACAAAGCGTGCATTCAATGCGTATCACGCGATCGTCAATGTGTTAAAGCGTTCCACTGCTGAATGCGGGAGTGCATTCCAAAGCAAGACGCTTTCAAGAGGACAGAATGCATGAATCATAGGCTGCTTCAGCGGCTAACCTAACAGGCTGCAATATTCCCGTGTAGGTTATGAACGTACCAGTCGGATCGCTGGCTAAGGCCGGCTCTCCTCCTGTGATGCGGCGGGCGCTGCTGCTGCTTCTGCGTCTTGACGGAACGGGGCCGATCCGACTGGCAAAAGAGAAGGCGGATATTAGTTGAGTGATAAAACAAACAAAACAGGAAAAAAGTACGCGCGGCAAAGCTGCGCTCGTCCGGGGAAACCGGGAGTATCGTAGAAGAAGTGCCGGCGTTAGCCGGTGAGCCGACTGGTCATCAATACATCCGCGGTCTAGTCATCAATGTTTCCTTTTTACACCTCATATCAATTGTTGAAGCCAGTGTTCACTGTGCCGGAACTGCCACGGTTATTAAAGTATGTTCTCAGCGCGCCGCTGACCTTTGAGCTCCTGGGCCAGATTTTGTCGGCAAGCAATGCCCAAGTCGCACGGCGTCAAAAAATTTTGATTGCCCCTATAACCGAGCACGATGTACCTATCCACAAATGGTAGACTCCCTGAGCAATAATTAATCAGTGATTTACTCAATGACCATGGCTCATTTATTAGCTCTTCTGACCACATGCTTACCTTCGCGCGTTAAATACAACACCACAGCAGAATCAGTCGAAAGGTAGAGGTTGATTCTTTTAAAACGTAGTCGTCAAGAATATGTCAAAATGGAATCCAAGAAGGTGATTTTGGGGTGAGAACATTATCACAAACCTCCTGGGGCACCCACAGTATTTCACGAAAGCCCTTCATCCAATGGACGTCCAGGTTTGAACGCGCGAAAAATTCTTATTTCTCCTTCTACTGTTTGTAATGAAATGAAATTTAGTGGCTCCGCATCCTCAACGACCAGCAATTACGCAATCGCTATGATCATAGCAATCGGAGCGGCATCATTCATGTTTTACTTATGGATAACTGAAGGCGAATTTAGACGCTAAAGGTGGGCCAAAGTGGATTGTCCTCCGCGATCTCTCTTTGAACTTGCGAAACAGAACTGTTTAGGAAAATTCGCTAAAAATGAAGGACCAACAAAAGTACCACCAGAACTAATGAACGTTCGCTCTTCGGAGAGTATTCAAGAGCACCCTGGAGCGGTACGTTATGTAACGTTTCTTTCCTAAACCAATAAGAGCTAGCTGCCAGTAGCCCTTCTGCGTTGCTCGGGCACAACTGTGCGTGCATACGTAGGACTTTGAGATGGGTTGCTCATGCACTGAGGAAAAAGGTGGCATTGAACGACGGGTATGGGACCAGACAATCGCGATCACCCACATGCAAGGAACGCGAGCATCTTAGGGTAGGAAGGCTGAGCCTGCTTTCAACTACACTGAGTTTTGCAGCTCAGATAGTAATAGCAAGGTAGCAATTGATCCAGCAGTGAAGAAAAAGCAGAAAAAACCCGCCAGAAGAGGCAAAAGTGGTCTAGTCGCTGCTTTTGCGAACCTGGCTACCAGCTCACAAAAGGCGGAGAGAAAAACCTCTACACCATGAACCGTGCGACCACTCTGCCGGTCAAGCGGTTCTTAAGAAGGCTGACTAGAGGAAGTTAGAACCCCTGACTTTCTTAACACACGTTTTTCAGTAAGGCAAGATGCAGATTCGCGCACCGTATGAGCGGGGCGGGGGCGGCGCGGCGGGGGGGGCGCGCCCGGGCGCGGCCGCGGGGCCGGGCGGGGCGGGGCGGGCGGGCGGGGGCGGCCGTGCCCCGGGCGGAGAGTTTCGCTAGCCAAGTAGTCATTAAAATTATGTTATTTGCGAAAGCCCTCATTTCACGGATGCACTGCCCACATACTGTACCTCCCCGGCAGAGCGCTTCTCCTTTGTAAGATTGTGAAGAGAAGGCATAACGGTAGGTCGACTGAAGGAAGCGGACGACGACTGTAAGAAACGTCCGTGATACACGGCGCCACTGCGGTAGCCAGTCGAGGGATGTTTGTGTGCACTTGATGTACCTGTTTGGAGCAACCAGTTGCGAGTTCGTCATGTTCGTCGAGTTGAGAGGCAGAATAGCTCCATTCAGTGCAGTCAGAATCATATTTTCACAGACAACTCCAGCACTGGCTTCGCTGGCGAACGGTAAACAGAAGCCACCAGCTGATGTAAGTTTTAGCTAATCGTTCGGTAGCAAACAACGAAGTCCAGTTTTTTTCGAAAATTCGTACGAGTTTTCAGGAAATGAGCCCTGCTACTGGTGAAAGAAGTTCGCCGAACGTGTTTGTGAGACTTGGCAGAGCTCCAGAAGCGCTGACAATGTTTGAACGAACAGATCTTGCTGTGTCATAATGTCTTAATACTAACGAAATAATACAAATACACCTTAACAAAGAATTGCTAAATAGATGGGATCGTGAGAAAAAATTAGAACACGATCCGCTACAGTCAACTCTATTGCCGTGCATTTTTCTCATGTTGTGTAAATTTACTGATCGACTTTCTTGACGGCGTTTTGACTTCGCGATGACGCGCTACCATTGCAACAGTGCTCCAATGATGAAGCTGAAAGCTCAGCCATAGACGGACATCAATCAACCTCGGCCGCTAGTGTTTCGAGTATCGGGAGCAAATAAGCATTGTCTCCCAATCTCGAGATCATCCATTTTTGGAAGTGTTGGCAAAAGTTTTCAAACCCTTTGGAAAACTTGAATCCTCTGGGAAACATATG